CAGAGAGAGACACAGAGAGAGAGAATGAGAATGTGTGTGTGTGTGTGTGTGTGTGTGTGTGTGTGTGTGTGTGTGTGTGTGTGTGTGTGTACTGCGCTATATTGGTATTTCCAGACTGGCATGGGCTACAAAAACCAAAACAAAATATAACTTTCCATTGATAATTAACAACTGACTCTTACATAGTACCAACTCAAATGCATCCAGGGCAAGTATTACCTCATTAGAGCCTCATCTTTAGAGAAGATTCCTTTATCCTATCTCCCTCTCTCCCTCTCTGCACTCCCCCGCCCCCGTCTGTGTTATTCTTATTCATCCCACAGCATCTGTGCGGAGGTCAGAGGACAACAGAAGATGTTTTTGTGTCATATGGGTCCTGGGGATGGAACTCGGGTCACTAGTCTTGGAGACAACAAGCACTTCGGCCTACTGAGCCATGTCTCCAGACCGAGAAGATTCCTTCATGAGGCCAACTTTACATAATATAAGAAAGCTGAGTCTTGAAGAGGTTTGAAAAGCTATCCAACATTATACAGCTAGGGTGTGGAGCTGGCTTCTGAATCTACGCCCTTAACAAAAACACTGTATCATACAGCTCCATCATATCCTATGAATAACGTATATTTACTTATAAAGTCCCAAGGGGTCCAGCTCCAAGCCCCCAGGTCAAAGCCGGGAGACAATACCCAGGCACTATTTCAATGACTTTGCTTTCTCATATTATCTAAAACCTACCACCATGTCAGTTCCAATCAGAGAGTGTCACTAAAATGTGCAGCTGGAAACTATTTAGAGAGAAATGGAAGTGGCACTGAGTAAGAATGTCAACAATCATGGTCTATAAAGGAAGGAAGGGGCCCAGGGGAAGTCAGGAGACCCCGGGCTGAAGGCAGGAGAACGGCCTCATTCTCGCTCTCGGTTTATCCTATAATGCAGTTACAGACCTTAGCTAGCATACACTGATTGTACAGGACATTGGGTTTCACCATGGCTTCTTCAAAACTGCCTACAATGCACTCTGAGCTAGTCACTGACCCCCATTACCCTCTCCTGTCTTCATTTCTCTAGCGGTTTAGACACTGTGAAAATCTTGTCTGCGTGTTAGAAATGAAGCAGGTGTAACTGCACTGGAACTATATTCAGTGGGTTTCATCAGATGTCTACAGATAGATAAGCAGCCAGGGGGAGGCCAGGAAATAACCGAGGACGTGATATACTAGATAGCACAATACAGCATCACCTCCACTCCATTTCTGGATGCAGCTGAAGCAATCGGGGCCCATGCAGGCACCAAGTGCTATTCTAAGTGGAGAGAGAAGTCTGGGTTCTCCCTGCTGAGATCCCATGCCGGGAGAAGCAGTGCCAAAACCCATTCATGTTAATGACTTCAGAGGAGAAGAACACTGCATATGAATATAGAGACTGACGAGGTTTTTATAATTTAAGAAACGTAATTCAAACAAAACCGAGTCCCTCAAAATATGACTCTCAGGTGTTTATTGCTATGGATGGCAAACTCGAGGCTACACAATCAGACCCTGTTCAAAAAAGACTGGTTTTGCCCTGCTCTGCTTTTGGAAGTTCAGCTAAGAAAAGTATTTGTGTATTTGTGTGTGTGTGTGTGTGTGTGTGTGTGTGTGTGCGCGCGCGCGCGCGCGCGCGTACATGTATTACATGTCTATGTGTTGTATAACAGTTTCCTCCTACATTAAAACATTCCAACCTTCAGGAAAGCTCTTTAAACAGGAAGATAAACTCAAAAACTCTTCAGGAAGTCCCTGAAACTGACCAGGTTCACTAAACCCCTCCCTTCCAGAGTAAGCAGGGCCAAGCTGCAAAGAAGAATCTCAGAGGAACCCAGCTGCCAAGACTCAGGACAAGCTGGGCTGCAGAGATTCCTAGGCCAGACCAGCTGCCCCAAAGAAGCAGAAACCAGCCCAGCTGCTTGGAAGAGGTTGAGCTCAACTGGGCACCTGGAAAAGACACGCTCTAACCTGCTGAGCTATCTGCAGGCTGCATGGTGTGCTCCAGGTTTCCAGCTTTGTGAACTGCTTTGGTGATGCAGTTGTCTTTGAGTCATTTCTGCTCCTGTAGGTGACCCCAATAAAACTCATGGTTCACCAGGTTGGACTTTGGTGCTGTCCATACTCTGGTCTGTTGGGAGTAGACATGAATGTTGCATCTCCCCAGGAAAAGTTCTGGCACACAACCACGTGTGTGTAGAGGTCAGAGGTCAACACTGGGTGTCTTCCTCAATTGTTCTCCACCTCATTTTTTGAAGCCAGAGTCTCACACTGAACTTGGCACTTGTCAATCAGCTCTGCCTCACCAGCGCTGGGTGGGATTCCTGTGGTGTGCTGCCATGCCCTGCTTTTTATACAGGTGCTGGAAACCTGGACTCATGGTTGTGTGGGAAGACTTTACCCACTGGGCAGCTGCCCATTTCCTAGAGCTTTGATGTTTTTAAAGGGTTGGGGTAGAGGGATAGGTGGGCGTGGCTCACTGGTAGAGCACTTGCCTAGCATTTGAGACCCCGGGTCTTCAAGGAAAGAAAAGAGGAGGAGGAGAGGGAAGGGGAAGGAGAAGAAAGGGGAGGAAAGGCACGAGGGACGGAAAGAGTGACCTGGAGATGGGGACTGTGGTGACTAAAACATTACTATGGGGCACTGCAGCTTGCTGACCCCATCTGGTCTCAATGAAGAGTGTGAAGGAGGAAACTGTTGCTTTTGTATAATACACACAGCAGCAGCAGTTTGGAGATGAGTGTCCAAGAGTGTGACCTAATTTTATTATGGAACACCATGCCTGCTTCAAAGACCAAAGAGTTGTGTTAAAGACACTTGGTAAAGTCACGCGTCAGGTTGACTCAGCAGTTTATTATTCTTGACTATATTATAATGAATTTATAGTATGTACGTGATACATATTATATACTGACTATATTAGCAATATAGTTGAGACCAGACTGCTTTATACTAACAACAGAGAGTGACACACACACTGGATGGAGAGATGAAGAAGGGATGAGTAGCCTGAGGCCCCTGTGAGATTTTCTGCCATCCACGTGGCTTACCTTGGGGTCTAGCCTGTACTAACGTAGATCTTGGCGTTGTGAAGGCAAAGGTGACGGAACTGAGGCAAAATCTCTGCCATCGCAGGGCACACATTCTACTGGGGACAGACACAAAACAAGCTCTAGAGTTGTGAGGTGTTCAGCTCCAAAAACGCCCAGAGGGCGCACAGTAAAGGAAGGCGGCTGCTCAAGGCCCAGCCACAGACCAGGGCAGCTGCTCAAGGCCCAGCCACAGACCAGGGCTGCTGCTCAAGGCCCAGCCACAGACCAGGGCTGCTGCTCAAGGCCCAGCCACAGACCAGGGCTGCTGCTCAAGGCCCAGCCACAGACCAGGGCGGCTGCTGCTCAAGGCGGAGCCACAGTCCAGGGCGGCTGCTCAAGGCCCAGCCACAGACCAGGGC